TTAAGAATAATGTAAAAAAAAATATATATATATATATATATATACATATATATATATATATATTAAGGACATTGGCATACAATTTAACATTTCCCCATCGAGATTGTTTAAACGTCTCGACGATAATACCAAATCTGCGACACATTTTTGTTATTCTTTACAATTATTGCTATGCATATTGCCTAGAATTACGAGGACCTTTGCCATTGATTTGTAACTTCTATGGAAATGGTGGATTACGAATTTTTATTGTTCGACGTTAATTGATAACTAACGACAAGAATGTTCGTATAGATTTGTTTTCAAGAAAAAAAAAAACAACAAAAAAATAATAACCATTGTCGCATGTGATGATGTTGTTGATCGCAGTATCACTTTACTTGTATATTTATTTTCTTTATCTTTCCTTTTTTTTTCTTTTTTAATAATCTTGTTTTTTTTTAACAATAATCGAGAGAAATCGTGTATGTACATAACCATACCTTCATATATACATACGTATCATTGTTTGTAGTATCAATGCATATCAATAATATTTTAATTTAAATGCTGTGTTAATGTTATTTAAGAAATCCTTTTGTTTCCGTATAAATAAATAAATAAATAAATAAATAAATCAGACGCGCACCATTACTCCGTTCGTTTTGACTTACTTTTTTTGGGCCATAGAAAAAAATAAATACGTTCTTATTACAATCTCCGCGAATAGTTCAATAATAATATAAGTCTTGGTTACTTTGGTCATATGTGTTTTCCGTTTGTTGTGTTTTTTTTTAAAATTTAATAATCCGAAGAAAAATAATTTGCCGATTATGCGAGTATTAAAGTAATTCTTCGTTATCGTCCGAAAGACCATACATTTGTGGTCTTCGTTGTTCTTTTTGATTTTGTTGTTGTCTTTCCATGGCCTGTTGTTTTTGAAACAATGCGATACTGGCAGCTTTGTAATTAATTGGCCCGTACGAACGATAATCCACATCGGCGTAATCCAAATCAGAAAATCCTGGACTGAATGCCTTAAAACGTTCAAAGAAAGGAAGAAAATATTTATCAATGAAATAACATAATATGACAAGGTTCTTTCATATAATCTAATTCAAATATTATTAACAACAATATGATTAAAACTGACCTTATTAGGTGGAGCTTGGATACCATGGAAAGGTAAGTTTTCATAAAATGTTTTAGTCGTACCGTCCCCCATTGTTTCCGTCATATTATTCGCTTGATTATTATTTCCATTTTCGTTCGAGTCTACAAAAAATGATCATCGATCTATCGTTAATATTATTTTGCTAATGTTTCCTATTAAAATATTATTCAAATACTGTGTATTATAATTTGTCTATGTTATGTCAAAAGTCATTAATTAACATTTGTAATTAGAAAAAAATCCGATCTCGGAAACGTATACTTTTTGCACACTCTATTATTGATGCTTAATAAATTTTTTCTGAATTTTTAATAAAATTTGAAACAATTTAAACTGTTAAGTGTAGCAATTAATCATCAAAAAAAAGCAATTCATTGCATCAAAAAATGTCATCTCTTTATCGTCAATAAATTCGGTAGTTGCTTGAAAGATGGATCAAAGTCATCGAAAATAATAGAAAATTATTTCGAATAATATAACGTGTGTGTACGTATGTGATTATATTCTAAATAAATAATAAATTTGCGTATTTTAAAAGATACCGAATTAATTGCTACAACTAATATCATCGGTCAGTTTAATTGTGTGTTAAATATGTATATTCAGTGACTTTTGAAATTACATAGACGATAATATATAAAAAGAAAAAAGAAAATAATTCGAGTAGCAACTTACATTTCATTTGTTTCCGTTTACGCCTGCAAATTATAAGGATGACTACACAGACGATAATTATAGCAAGTATTATGATAATTGATACGATTATTGCTATGAGTAACAGGTTACCATCCATACGATACCACCAAGGTACGTCTCCTATATTTAAACAAAAACAGAACGAAAGAAATAAAAAATAAAATAAACCAAATAGAAAAAGAAAAGAAAAAAAAAAAATGAAATACAATAACAACAAGAATAAAAGTAAAAATCAAAAGTAGAGACACGATATATATTTGTATTTGACAATATTTTATTTTATTTTTTTTTTTTTGTTATTCAATTATGGATCAATCCCATCGTATAATAAAAAAGAAAAGAATTCAAATAAATTCGTTAATAAATATTTCGATGAATATAAAATGGGAAATTTGTCTCACCGGAAATATCCAAATCGCAGGGCTCGGATTGACCGATTGAATTGTTGGCAATGCACACGTATGTTCGAAATTTCGTGATTGAAGTATCCAAAAGTACATAGCTTATCCCATCCTGAATCTCGAAATCTACCGTTTCGTTGTCATTTTCTATGAACCAGATGAAATCGATTTCTTCTGGATTTCCAATTGCCGAACAGCTGATGTAATCCATATCCTTCAATCGTTCTCGCTGTATCTGACACTCAGGCTTAACTGCGTTCAAAAGAAAGAAAAAAAAAGGGCCATAGGAGAGAGAGAGAAAGAGAAAGAGAGAGAGAGAGAGAGAGAATTTTTGTAACTCTTTTTCAAAAAAAAAAACGTATTTCCAATGAAAATCGACCGATATATCGAAAAAGAAAAAAAAAAACAACATTAAAAGTAGGAAAAAATAACAAGAAGAATGTGAGAGATAAAATAAACAAATATAATGGTTGAAGTATTTCAATCGTAACGCATAAAAATATCTACGTTATTTATGGTTTTATGGAAAAAGTTTTGAGGATGAAATGAAATTATTTGAAAAAAAAGAGAGAGAGAAAAAAAAAAAAGAAAAAAAAAGGAAATAAAAAGGCCACGCGCGCGTACTGGAAAGCTAATTTGTTTTTCAATGTCAGGTTTTTTTCTTTATCTAATTAAATCATACATTTATCTTATTACTTTGATCGATCCAATTTTTTTGCTTAAACAAAATTTATGAAATTATATATATCGAAAAAGTATTAATTTTGGAATGATATTTATTTCTATATTACTAATAAACTAATTACACATTTACTAAAATTTAATCTATATAATTTATATAAGAGTATCGTATTATATATTTATTATTAATTAATAAATATATCTTCTAAACACTACGTGTGGTCGAATTATGTTATTTTTAAAAAACATAAGATTTTGTTACAGAGAATTATCTGAAATAGGAATGACCTTGGAAAAAAAAAAAATTAAAAATTATCTTACCTCTACACGTGCTTGAAATATTACAAATTGGTCTCGTGTACTTTTAACATTAAACCATAAACAATGGAAATATTAATGTGTTCCCAATTCAATGGGGGAACGTTGTATTTGGAAATATTTATAAATAAAAAAAAGTAGGGTATTTACATTGGACGTTGACGACGAGGGAAATATTAAGTTTCCCGTGTTGATTTGATGCCTCGCAATAATAAGTCCCATTGCTGCGTCTAGGTATAGGTGTTTTTAAATCAAGTATTTGCCCTTCGATAATAGTATCATTCGAACCCTCGCGGAACCATCTGAAGGTCGCGTTTGGATAAGCCTTCGCGTCGCAACTGACAGTTTCCGGTATGGTGTCGACCGTAACGTTTATTATCTTCTTTGAAATCGTCATGTTCTCTGGTGGGACTAAACGGGAATGATTAATCAACAAAACAACATTTCACCGAGAAACTAAATTAAATCATATTTAAAATAATTAATTAATTAATTAATTAATTAATTAATGAGTGTTTATTAATTAATTTAACATTTTAGTTACCACTTACATTCAACGTGAAATTGAGTGGTACTTTCGATTGGTATTCCAATACCATTATCACTACTTTTACAGGTAAATTTAGCATCATCGTCCATATGATCGAGCCGACCGTTTGGTAATGCAGTCAAATTCCAGGTTAAATTGGATTGAATACTTGCGAAATGATTGTTTTCGTAATCCAATGGCTTATGGCTGTTTAATAAATAATAACGATCGGATGTTTCGAAATCTATGGGATCGCCATTTCTGTACCAAGAAACGTTACAATTTGGGACACATTCTATCCAACAAACGAGGCTAACGTTTTTAGAATTGTAGACAAATCCTTGATACTTTTCCAGGGCTTGGATAAACGTTGGTGCAACTGATCAACAAATGACGATCGATCGTTTAACATTTATCACGAATAATCTTGAAAAGACACATTGTTTGTTATATTATATAATAATTTACCTAAAACATCGATAGCGATTGTAGCAGGGTATCCAACACCAGCTTCGTTAAAAGCCATGCAGGTAAAATTAGCGGCAGCTTTAACGTCGACAAAATCTATATAGAGCACGGAATTGGTCTCATCTGGTAACCTATACAAATCTCTATGCCATTTAAAACCAATTATTTCCGGTCTCCCAGGATCCACAACGGAACAGCTGATAGACAATTGTTGTCCTTTAACAACACGTTTGGGTTCATAGGATATGGTTGCTGGGCCAGGTTTATCTGTCGAATTTTGGTTTGATGTTGGTGTTTAGAGAAAAAAATGATTGAATTAAGAATAAAATAAAATAAAATAAAAATAAATAAATAAATAAAAAAAGAGGAAAAACGTACAATAAATGGTGACAGATGTGCTTGGAGACATGAGACCCCAACCGGCATCGTTTCTACCCTCGCAAGAATAATCTCCGTGAAAGGAACGTCCAACAGCTTCCAATAACAGTTTGCTAGGGTCAATGTCGCAAATACTGGAGGATTCTTCGAGCAACGTTGACGTTATCGTATCGTTCGTCGTGCAGTCTGGAAGTTCCTTTAGGAGATCCCCATCCAAGTACCACCGTACGGCCGTTAGGATCTCGGGATTTCCAAAAAGTACCGAACAACTCAGCGACACGTTCAAACGTTCTTCCTCGTTCACCGGCGTGCCCGGATCCGATATCACTTCAACCACGGGTTTATCTGAAGAAGTGCATGAGAATGAACGACATTAAATTCTCGATTTTCTATCTTACCGTATACACGCATACACGTGCGGGAATCTACACGTATACATGTATAGAGAAAAGAGGGTTGTACAGGTATACTCACATAAAACGGACACATTTACGCTCTCCTTGGAACTGGTAGCCCCAACGCTATTCTCTAAAATGCATTTATAGGAACCCATATCGGTAGCGGTTGCATTCTTTACTGTTAATGCCGTATTCTCCGTGCTACCACCTTCATAATGCTCGTCTTCGTCCAATGTTAACTCCAAATCTTCTTGTAACCTGGTAAAAAGAATCGCAAGGATTAAACAAAGGGGTGACTATTTCCATTCTCTCTCTCTTTCTCTTTTTTTTCTTTTTTTTTTATTATTATTTTCTCTTTTTTCCCTTTCTCTTTCTCGTGCGCGCGGTGCACGCGCCCGTTCAAACAAACGAATACGATATCCCTTTTGTCCGTGACTGGCGTCCCTCATTCGAAACTTTTCTTTTAATTGAAATCTTACACTTCGAAGAATGTAACTTACCCATTGTGATTTTCTACCAACTCGGTTGGCCCCTTTTTTTTTTTGCAAACAAATCACAATCCACATTCCCATCTTTTTTTCTTCTTCTTCTTCTATTTTTTTTTTTCTTTCTTTCATAGTCTTTGATTTTAAAGTAATAAAACGAAGAATGGGATGAGAGAACAACAACAAATATATAAAATATGTTTTCACCGTTCGATAATGAAGCGTACCTGTCTTATAAAAAGAAATGAATACATCGTACCGTTTGGAAGTACCTAAAGAAGAAGGAGGAGGAGGAAAAGGTGGTGGTGGTGGTGGTGGTGGTAGTGGTAGTAAGAAATAAGAAGAAGGGAAAAAGAAAAACAAAAAAGGAAAAAATAAAGAAGAATGGGGCGAAGGTATAGTAGACATAGAGTCAAAGAAATAGAAAAAGAAAAGAATGAGAGAAATAAAAAAAAAAAATGAGAGAAAGAAAAAAATGAGAAACATCGCTCTCTTGGCCTCCTTTCGTCGAAAGAGAGCCAGTTACGTTACGTTTTACCTACACATTTACGGAATTGTATAGAAGGACTAATGAATATTTTTACCATTTACTTGTTACCACCTTTGAAAGGGAAGCAACTTTGTGAAAGTGAGAGAAAAACCTGGCGAGGGGTTAAGTAGGGAGAAGGGTGTTGGAAGGGGGTGGGTGGGTGGGGGGGGGAAGAGGAAGGACTGGCTTTGAATTAAGGTCAACTCGTTGCTAGATGGATAAATCGATAGGGATCAATGGTACCCTTCCAATGAACAAATCAACCGACCTACGAATATTGGTGAACACCGTTAAAACAAATGAATTTTTATAATAAAAAATTCATTATCTTTAATCGAGGATAGAAAAAAATGTAGTACAGATACTCGAAAACAGGGGATCATTAATATCATCTCACGCAAGAACGTATTTGAGAATTGTATTTAAAAAAAAAAAAAAAAAAAACATATTAGAAAAATTTCATATCTCATCATTTTGATTTTTTCGAATGAACAATATGAACAAAAAATCAACGAAGATTTACGAACATCTTTGGAATACGTTTATTGTGAAAAATATCGATTATCTTTATCGTGAGGAAACAAAATAGTATCGTTACAATTTTTCATCCCTCATATTATTTTATTTTTTGTTTTAAAAAGATGATCATTAGTATATCTTAGAATTTGAATAACATTATTTAAAATGAATGATATATATATTTATCAAACGTACGAAATAAATGAAACTTTCATTCCTAACCTCCTCCTCTACCCGCCCCCCCCCTAAACCCCCATTGATTTTCGAACAAATAAACGAACGAACCCAATAAACGGTACGCGAACGTCGAATAATTTTATTTACAAAAAAGGGTCTCATAAAATTAATAGAATTTCATTCCCTATCATTGATTTTCGAATGAACAATTAATTGAGCGAATTAATAAAGATGGAAGAACATCGAATAATTTTATTAATCCAAATTATCTCTCGTGGAATTAATTTAACGAGGAGGGGGGGGAGGGGGGAAGTGAGGGAGGGATTGGCGTTAGGTGGGAGGAGAGGGAGAAAAAAAAAGGAGAAAAAATTGTTCGTATGTGAAAAATAATAAAAATAAAGAATCTTTATATCCTTTACCATCCCATGGGATTTTCGGACTAAATTTAAACGTGGAGCCTAAAGTGCCAATTAGTAGAGGGATGATATCGTTTCGAAGTGTAAAGCGAACGAAGTTGATCGGATTGAAGATGGCTATGGGGGATGATATATTACGACAGTGAGAGAGAAAGAGAGAGAGAGAGAGAGAAAGGGAGAGAAAGAGAGACTGGTTGAGAGAATAAAGCAGATAGAAAATAGAAGGGAAAGTAGTGGATACAAAGGACGAGAGAATGAAAAGTAGATAGAAGGGAAGACAGGATGAAAGGATGTTGAAAAGGCTAGAGAAATTTATTATGTCCTGGGACGGATTCCTCTTTAGCTTCGAATGAAAAAGGTGCATTAGTAATGCCAAAGATCGGCTAGATATGTTCAACTAATATAACTACCATAATGATAATGATGAGAATAATGAGAATGTTGGTAATTTTGTTACTTTTGGTTATGTATAATTTTTTTGCAAGCTTGTATATTTAAAAAAAAAAAAAAATAATTTTTTAATTTTAATTATGTATTTTTTTTATCTATTTATAAAATAAAATATTGTTTAATATATTAATTTGTTAATATCGTAAATAGATGAGCAATATTTTTAATAAAATGTTAGTATTGGATGTGTGATATTTGCGAAAAGAAATTGTTTAAATTGAATCATTTGTTAATATTGTAAATTGACGGTTTAATATTTTTCATAAAATATTAACACTCTTTGGATAAATAATATTTATGAAATATATTATTATTTTATATATTGAGAGATTAAAATAAAAAAAAAAATAAATATTAAATAGAGAATATAATTTACCATTTAACTTTAATCAAAGTATTTGGATTAGCCTCGTAATCGCAGAAAATCGTAAAATCTTCCGTTTCATTGACGGTTATGTTAACCGGTTTCATTTTGATTATCGGCGGATCTGTGAAATGCACGAAATATAAGAAGATAAATGATACAGTTTAAAAGTGTTAACTTAAATATATATATATAGTGAAGTATATATATATATATACATCAGTTAAATATACATATATACACATATACACACTCAATCTAATATTACTTACACAATACTTTGATCGTAATTACTTCCTTCATAGGTTTGAGACGTTTAGTACGAATAACAGGATTTTCAGCGATGCAACTAAACGTTTTTCCATTGTCGTATTCCGATGCCGTAAAAGCAAGATAACTTATCGTTTTTGACGTACTATCGTTCTACGAACAAATAAATCGTTTAAAGTCATTTAATCCTATCAACGTAGCTCGTATATATTTATTTATGTATACACGTATTTATGTATTTTATAACGCGAAAGATAAACGCATTTACATCTACAATATAACTTTGTTTTCTTTCATTTGTTTTTGGTATTTTTACATTTATACCGTGTTAATACGAGTATTAACGTAATGAACAAATACAAATCTACAATTTTGTATAATATTAATGAAAATCGACGAATAATATCCGTTCGATATAAGTACGTATATATTATTTTTTTTTCTCATTATTCTTTTATTATTATTGTTTCTTTTTAAACGATACTTTTTTTTTTTTTATTATTAATACGAGTTATATATTAATATTTCACGTTTTTAAAACGTATAACGATTGGGAATAATGAATCTGCGAAAAATTTCGCTCTTCGACGACTACTCTCATAACTCACCCCCTTCTCATCGAATAACGATCAGCGCAGCAGTTAAAAAAACGATCGATTAGATAATTCTCATTTAGTGTTCTTTCTATTTTATTTTATTTTTTTTTTTTTTTTAAATTTATTTATTAGAAATAATAGATCGTGTTTAATTTACTCTAGTCTCTTTCTTTTTTAATTTTTTTTTTTTTTAATATTTGCAGCCGAGCGATGATAATAAACGAGAAACACAGAGATAGTAATATATAAAGGGTGTCCTATTATTGATGGTACAAACGAACAGGGGTTGATTCTACGTGGAAAACTAATTTTTAGTCGAAAATGTATAACGAAATCCATTTTTATAGTCAATTTTGTTTTTAAGAAAAATATATTTCAACATTTGTTGTGTTGAATACGTGTGCAATTAAACGAATTTGCAATCCTGAAAACTAAAATCCTTGTTAAGCATCGTTGCAAGAGATATCATGGTGCTAACAATTTTCACAACGATATTTGAAATGCATAAAAATATTCTTCAAAATTTTCGAGGATAAAATAGTAAAATCCGTTGTACTGGTGAAACTGTATTGAATAGACGCGTGTACTCGACAAATTTTCGACGAAATTTATTTATTCTCGAAGATAAAGCTAAATAGAAAAAAAAACAAAAAAAAAAAAGAAATTGTATTCCATATTTTTCGACTTATTGTTAGTTTTTTCTTTTTTTTTTCCAAAAATATTAAGAAATATAAAAATGCTTCTTTAAAATATGCCAGAGTAAAATAGTAAAATCCGTTGAATTGAAACTAAATCGAGTGTACACGTGTACTTGACAAATCATAAAAACTTATTTATTCTCGAAAATATAAAGTTAAATAGAAAAAAAAACAAAAAAAAAAGAAAGAAAGAAAGAAACAAAAGTTGCATTTTACATTTTCAATTTAGTTTTTCACGTAGTATCACCATCATAAAATAATTGGCTTTTATAATCAATTGAATGACACATCGCAACGTAATTAAATAAATAAATAAAAAAAAGAAAAAATAGAAATAACGTAAGGGAAAAAAAAATTGATTAAATTATCGTACACACACTCACATTTTCAAATATTTTCGTCTCAAACAGTTCGTATTTTTCGTTACTAGTGGTCAATGGTTCTGATCCATTGTACCAAGTTACATTGGCAGCTGGCCTTGCTGAACTTACGGTACACTGTAATAATATTTTCGTTCCTTGCACCGCATGACCAACCACTCCGCTCAAATCCATCTTTAATGGACGCACTATGAAAATAATGATAACATTGTCGAGAAATATATGAATGTGGATAGTAAAAGTAAGAAAAGTCAATAACATATACACACACACATACACACACATATATATATATATTCAATACCAATGTCTATACCTATAAAAGGATACACACATATAGATGAACATGCACGTATACATTCTTACCATGAATATCGAATTTAATGTCTTCCGTGATGGGTTCTAAGAGAGCAACGCTGTTGACCTTGCACGTGAAAACATCGCCAAGCTCGTCTCGAGTCACTTGCATCTTCAAGGAGCTTCTTCCGGTGCCTATGCCATTGGCGTCGACCGTCGAGGAAGCCTCGGCTGAAAATATAATTAATTAAAATGATTAGAACCCTCTTTGGAAGGCTACCTTGGGTAATACACTCTCACTCTCTCTCTCTCTCTCTCTCCCTCTCACTGACACTTTCTTTTTCTTTTACATTGACGAACACACGCTACGTGACACGTTTTCTTTGATAGGGTATACCCTAATATCATCTATGTATGTATACTAATAGTGGGGAGAGGAAGGGTGGTGGCTTAATTTGTAGGAGTGAGGAAATTGTGGTAGGAAACGATAGATTTTGATTTTACCTTCGAAAGCTAATCGAAAATGTAGAATAATTATTTTTTATACGAAACTTTGTTTTCAAGCAAATTAGTTACGAAATTACGGCGAATTGTTGCAGCGTATTGTTATTGGTTTTTACTTTTTTTTTAATTTTTAATTGAAACTAATAAATGTATTTGGTCGCACCCCAAAAGTTGTTTTTTTATTTTATTTTATCTAGTAATATATATATATAATACGATCCTGTTTTATCGTCTTTTTCCTATAACGTCTAATATTCGGTAAAATAAATAAAATAAAATAAAATAAAAACATATATTATATACATTTAAAACTTACTTTCCACAATAAAAGCAATGAAACTTTCTAAACGACTTTTTAATATTATAGTAACACTTATGTCAATATAAAGAGAAGATTTTTTACTTTTTTTTTTTTTTTTTGCAAATACGAAGAGTAGAATATCCAAGTGATAGGAAAGCAATTCGAGTCACCTCTCAACTGCACGCGTATTGGATAAAACTTGATAGTCGATTTTTCTTGAAAACAAAAAGGATTGTATCAAAAATAGTAATTCTACATTTTCGATAGAGTTTAACATTGGGAATCGATAATCCCTTACAATTTGTAACTAAATTTTCGTTATGCGCTGTATACACTTTGCACAGTTCACATTACTGTACGTAGGATTCACATTACATACGTGCATAGATCTATAGTAAACTCTAGGAACTTAATCTGGATTAAGAGAATATTCTTGGTCTACCCGAAGGTGCAGTTAATTCCTTCGTACATGTTACGTTAATCGCGTTAAGTCGTGAAGAGGCTGGGTCGTCTAACTAATCGACTTCTCCGCACCCATAACGCTTCGGATCGAGAGAGGGAAACTTCTGTTGAACGAAGGGCAACGCTAACTTTTCTCATCATACGTTACCGCAGACTCTTAGCCTCCTTAGTCTTCCTCATCGATTCCTTTACCAACATACTTTGAATCTCATAGTTAAAGTAGCCTCTTTTGTGTACCGATTTGCACCGTTGTAACTCTCAAACCCTTATCAAACTACTCCTGTCGATTAGATACTTGTTTCATAACAACAACTTCGACACTTTGTCTCTTTAATTTTACCAATATTATGATTTTAGTTAACGTTACTTTCATACTTTTCAAGATGAGAAAATAGGGGGCTTTTTTTTTTTTTGTTTTTATCATTTAATATGTTTTTTGATGAGCGTGCATTATTTTTGGTTACACGTCGAAACTCATTTTTACGTTGAATGACATTTATCTCGTTAAGAGAAAAAGAAAAAAGGTTAACAATGACTTTTTGATATCACATTTTTTTTCGATACGCGTGACACGAAAATAATGATTACTCAAATGTAACTTGGCAGGGAACGCTTTTTTTTATTTTTCTCTTATTTCGTTTGTTTTAGAAATCTTTCGGGGATACCGTTTTCCGTTTATTAGATTATTGTTTCGTGATAAGAAATGTTCGATACTGATACTAAATAATTTAATTTCACATTTAAAATGACACGAATAAATATTTTTTAAATCACCCATTGACAAATTTTTCGAAGTATTGTATAACTTTTTTTCTACATTAAATTCTTATTTCACGATAATATATAATACAATATTTAATCCCGTGATAAAATATTATTAGTATTTTACTAAAACACATTATTTTAATATTAGACATTTAAAAATAAGTATTTCTTGCTATACACCTCCTCCCCTTCTTTCCTCCTGAATAAAAACGTTTGGTGAAATGATTGGAAATGTACTTGTTTACCTTTCGAAGATTTATTTGAAATAGATCGTTTGACGATGTAGTATCGTTCACGTTTAACAGATTAGCGAGACCAACCGACGAGTTCCATTAGAAGAAAACGAAATTGGAAACTTACCTTCGAGCTGTTGATCACCCTTAAACCACTGCACCGTGGGAACTGGTCTACCCTCGCCACTCTCGCAAGTCAGTGAAATGGTTGAACCTTCGTCTATCGGTCCAAACGTAGTATCCGGACTTAAAATGTTCTTTGTGTTTTCGTCGATGACATGTACGTTAACGGGTTTTACTGAAATCAAATCCGAGTAAAGGGATTAAAATGAAGTCGGCCCCAAGGATAGAAAAGCACCAGCTGTAGATATTTCAATTTTATTTCTTTTTATTTTCTTTTTCTCCTTTTCCTAACCCCTCTCCCCCCCCCACCTTCTCTGTACCCCTTCACCACAACACCCCAACCACATTCTCTTTTTCTTTGCACTCCTTTCTTTTTTACTAGTCCCAATCGTGACGAATAAAAAGCAAGCGAAAAGAAAAGAAACAAAAAAAAACAGAAAGGCGGGGGGGAGAGACGAGGGAGAAAAGAGAAGGAATCAAGAAAGAAAGAAACTTTGAAGGTAAAGTGGAAAAATCGAAGAGAACGTTTCGGAACCGTCGCGGTTGCATAACCTTGCATATAACCTAAATAAAAAAGTACCAGGGGGAAACCAAAAAAAAGCTTAAAAATAATATTAATTATTTTATTTCATTTTATAGAGAAACCGAAGTGTTAAAATAAATGAGCGCGATATGTGTTAGGTTTCCTGCTTCTTCTTCTTCTTCTTCGTGTTTTCTAATCTTTTTCTTTTTCTCTTTTTTTCTAATTTTTTCTTAAAAAAAAAATTAACGTAGGAAACCTCTAAATGAGATGAGATGAAATGATAGTATATATATATATATATATATGTATCCAGTAGTTGCTTTTAATAAGTAGGTTACCGCTGTTAAGTGATAATGGGAGTCTATTTCACTATATAACACCTAGCAATAATGTAATGGACGTTATTAGATATATGTGTGTCGACGGCAATCATTTCTTATCAAAATCGAACCTTTTTAATTGGATTAATTTTTAATTGGACACACACACATACATACATACACATATAGAAATTTTAGATAATTCGCATTTATTAGGGTTCATATTTTTATATTATATTTTAGAATCAATAATTATAATCAAATTATCAATAATAGACTTTAACCCTTTCGTACGAAACTTATTTGAGTCGGTCAGTCGTTCATATGATGACCCCCGTACCTATATGGGTTAATTCTTTAATTCTATTGCAAATATCACATTTATCAATTTATAATATTAATTAAATTATTATTAATATATATATGATAGAAATAAAATATTCGTATATATTAATCGTTGATTTAATAAAACATTAAATCATATAAATGGAAATAATTTCTAGGATATGTTTTATTATTTCATGATAAATAAATGTTTGGTATTTATAATAAAAGTGATGAATATATGATTCCGTTCGAATTTTGAATTCATTATAAATGATGATTATCAATTTAAAATATCAACAATTAATTATTGACGTCGTACGAAATATTCGGTTATACCGGTTATTTTATCAGTGCGAACATATAAATGATTTTTAAAATAAATTTTAATCCAAGATATTTAAAAACGAAAAACAAATAAAAAGAAAAAAAAAATTAAAAACTTACTCGTAACGTTAAGTATTACGTGTTGAATATTATCGCATTTTAAATTTCCAGCCGAGTATACAGTTTCGCATTTGTATAGTCCTTCATCCTCGAGTTTAACATCGATCATTTTCAGGTAAGCCGTCGTCGAATTGAGCATATATTCCATGTCCAATCTGTAACATTAAATCGTTCTAAATATTAATAATAATAATAATAATAATAATTATTATTATTATTATTATAATTGAAAAATAATAATATCTTCGCGTAATAATATTATGAAAGTAATGATTATTCGTGATTAAAGATAAAAACTTGATTTTCTATTTTAATATTATATCGCATGAAAGTTAATTTAATAATAATGGAATAAGGTAAGAGTAGCAGCAAAAAGTAATAGTAGTTAGTAGTAGTTTTAGTAGTAGTAGTAGTAATAGTAGTATTAAGTTGGATCATTAATTGAAACAACGATCAGTCTGGGTTGGACCTTTGATGTTCGTGCTCCGTAACGCCTTAATTGTCAACCATGGTAGCGCGAACGAAGCAGTAAGTTAGAAAACCCTTCTTTTATACCCCCTTTTCGTATTCTTTTTTTTTCTCTTTTCCCCTTCTTATGCACCCCTTTTCGAGTACCTAACAGTATTGGTAGAGAGTACCAACATTATCAGGAGAACCTTAGAAGAACAACCCAGTAACAGTAAAGACAAGAACAGTAGATACCGACCTTTAGAGAAAATCCAACAAGATAGACCTAGACCAACTACCTAGCTAGCATCGTAAATGAAGCGCCCCTATTTCAGAGCACGAACCTTCGATTCTCCTAATAATTAGAAGCTAAGTCCCCGCTTTAATACGAAATTACGAGAGGATGCAGTAGGTGTACTTTCTCTCTCTCTCTCTAACTTTGTATGTACTTCTCTATGTGTGTACATATATATATTAATATATGTATATTTGTGTCTGTGAATGTATACTACTACTTATTTATTGTTAGAGTGGTGCAGGTTATCAAATCAAAGGAGAGAAAACGTGGAAGAAGAAAACTAGCATTTCTAAAGCTACATATTGCATACACACATGTACACATATACATGGATATGTGTAATAAGGCAATAAAGGAAATTCGAGCAACTATATGTATATATATATCTAACACGCTTTTCAACCACCCCCAATTGCCCTCCTATTCTATACAGAACCACCCACTCGCACTCGTAACCCTTCGGTCACTCATCGATCGCCTCGCCCATAACTCAATCATTTCGGGCAATTGGCCTGGATTGTACCACGTGCTTCCGCCTATTCTCATTCCCCCTTATCCTCTTGTTTTCCCGATTCGACATGCATATTCTCTCTGTCACCGGGTTATAATCACACCGGTCTACACATCTGCATGATTTCGATTAGCGGGATCACAAAGACATTGAGAAACATCCTACTATACGTGAACAACTAAACATTTGTATTAGATGCATTAGGGTGCTCGTTAATAGCACCTGATGAGTTCATTTCAAAACCATTCGTTTGAACCCCTTCCCCCTCCTCCCTCTACACCCCGCTCCCGCCCTATAAAGTTTTACACGAAATTGATATAAATATTGTGATACTTTGTCTTCATTTAAATAGCATGTACCAATGGAAATATATTTTAGTATATTTTTATAATAATATATGCGCGTGGATATGCATTAAGGTTGTTGGTATTCGGTGGTTGATTATTATGCACGAATTAAATACAACATTTTTTTTAATAATATACACGTATATATTTTATTCTTATTATTATTATTATTAGTATTATTATATTAATATAATATTAGTATTTATAAATTAATACTGCAGCCCTGTTTAAATAATAATTTTATCATTTTTTGTTTTTTGATCAAATATTCCTTAGATTTATATAGTTTTAATTTTAAAATATACAAAAATTTTCCTGTTTTCTAATATATGTATTTAAAAAATGATCTGCACGCGCGCCTTTGAGCATATTTTAATATTAAAATAAAAAGAATATCAAAGTTAGAACATTTTTGTCCTTTATTTTAACGTCAAATCTTGCTCTACACGTCAAACATATTTTTTATATCATTAGACTTATAAAATATTATTTTAATTGATCAAATATTTCTTATAGGTTTAATTTTAATCCTAAAAAATGATCTATATGAATATTTAACACGTTGTTATTTTATTTAAATATATATATATTAAAAAAAAATACGTATCGCAGTAGAGTACGTTTTATTAATAAAGGATTAAAAAAGCTTAGTTGAAATTTAAAAAGACAAAGATTTCAAAAATATTTATTTCGAATTTAACTTCGAAGGTTGGGATAAAATATATATATATATAAAGGTCAGTGTACTCATCAAAATTCTGGAAAAAGTCGAATTACAAGGACTCTAATATACATATACATATATATATATATATACATATATATAGAAATGTAAAAGTATAGGACGAAAAACGTGGAAAGAATCCTTTTCACTTTCTGCTTTTCCTGTTTCTCTAATTATATGTCATCCTACGTGATCCCTTGTCTCCTACTACTCTCTTATGATTCAACATATTTTTTTCTTTTATTCGTTTATTCATACTTTTTATTGTAATCTTTCTTTCCCTTTTGTCATTCCAACATTTTCCACCCACCTACCCACCTACCCACCTACCCACCTACCTACCAAACTACAAACCGGCTCTTTACGCGTACAGCTTATTAATAGCAACTCGGGGTCCCCGATGTTAAATTATTAAATCTAATTACTTATTCACCTGCCGTCACTGCCATAGCCACCACCACCACCACCACCACCACCACCACCACCACCACCACCGCCGCCGCCGTCACCGTCACCGTCACCGTCACCGTCGTCGTCACCATCCTTGTTCCGCATTAACCCCGTGCCTTCGTTGAAAGCAAAAATGCGCGTACCCGCGCGATACCAGTCAATGCTTTGAAGTGCCCCACACTGCGATGCTTTTAGGATGCATGGCAATAGCACTTCCGTTCCAACTTCCGCGTATTTCTCACTTTCCAACCATGCTTTCGTGGTCCCTGAAAAAATACAAAAAAAGAAAACGAAAAGAAATACAGAAAAACAAAATAATAATAATAACAACAATAATTGTACAAGAGTAGGAGTGTAGAAGAGAGGGGTTGGGGTGGGGGTGAGATAGGGAAGGATGAAGGAAACTACCGGAAAAACGGTTCTTATTGGTAATGGGAAGAAAGGATAAAGCAAAGGTCTCGTTTATCCTTTTTTCTTTTCTTTTTTTTTTTCTCTTATCTACTCTTTTTTTCAAACTTGATTCTCAAAAGCTGTCACACGTGAATGGTTCATGGTTTCTTTTTACTCCAAACGAAATTTTTCCTCTTCCCTAGAATATACATGGAAATATTTGTACGTGTACTGATATGTTCGTGTACTTGCATATACATTGAGGTTACGCATTTTTATTACAAATTACTCGTTCTTCTCTACTCATGCATACGTTTATATATATATAATATATTGTATGTATATATAATATATATATACATATATGTATATGTGTATATGTTTTAGGTAGAAGGAGAAAAACAATGAATTTCACGTTGAAGCGCTTTCAGCAAGGAAGGAAAATTCGGACGGCAAGCAGCACTAGGATGGAATATCCGACGTGTAACGTCCGTTCTTAATTAATATTAACGTGTGAACTTGAGAGCCAAGAATAAATATTTCCATACAAAGTCAACGCTTCCCTACCGTAGACCAGTAAATGAGCCTTTACTAACAACTGTAATAAACTCTGCCAAGGTATTAACATCATCCTTATCTCGAGGATATATCGCAATACACGTTACCCTATTTTATACTTTATATCATTTATTATACTGTATTATTTCGATAATATTATTCATCAAAAAACAAACAGGAAAGAAAATGACAAAGGATAATGGTAGAATGGAAAAAAAAAAGAAAAGGAAATTAAATGTAAAATTTCAATGACGCAACTCTAACACAACTTTGATGAAATCCCCGTTTTATGCTTTATACCTCTCGTTATATCACGTGTTATATAAATAATTATTTAATCAAACAAACACACACACACACACACAGGACAAAAGAAAAAAGTAAAAGGAAGGAGAATAAATGAAACGTAAAATTTGAACGACGCAACCTTAATGCTAACGATCCTAAATTTTCTATTAATACGGATATCCAGAGGAACAGAAAATTTGCTAGAAAAAAAATGGACTCCTTTAAAACAGTAATTCTCAATTGTCCATGTCCCATATCTAAAAGCATCTTCTTATAAATTATATTTTAAAAAACAAAAGTGAACTCCTATTTACGCGAAGGAAGCCTACAAGGCCATTAACTTGATTTAAAAAAAGCTTCCAAAGAAGAAGGCATCCGATGAAAGAGAGAAAAACAAAAAGATTTAAGGAAGGAATTACTGAGAAATTGCAAAAAATTGCAAATTACTTTCTCTTGTCGTACAATCGTGGTCGATTGATTTGTCAACAAAAATTGTTAATTAGCGGTTCGTGTTTCACATTTAACGTTATTGAAATGGATACAAAAATGTTTTGCAAATTGATCGGAATATTAGATTTTTAAATGAAAATCAGCATGATATTAATTCGAAACTTTTGTATGTAAATGTTATATACATGTGTAGATCTTGTACATTATTCCGTTGGTTGACTTTTTGTTTCATAGTTTCTCTCTAGTTCTCCATTGTCACGCGAATACACGAATGTTATTTGCTCGGCAAACAGGGCAGGAAGGAATTTCGTCAATTTTTCAAAGGAACCACTACCCACCCCCCAACCACCCCGATATATGCTTCCTAGGTTATGCTGGGTTCTGCTGCTGTTAAACCACCACCCGACAATGTCTCCCTCAATTTTCATTCCTTTTCCTTTTCAGAAGGAAGCAACAGGCCGCGTATACACGGATATGCAAAGTGTAGAGTAAACAGATAAATGACGATGCTTTACTAACGTTAAGATAACTCGGTAATACTGAATGAAATATATTTTTTATATTACTTTATTTCATTTTAACCATTTTTAATTTTCATAACCATGAAACGAGTAATATCAGGACACAGTGGCGATTTGCCTTTGATGAAAATGAGACTCGGCATGCTCGTAAAATCAAAGAACGTCCATCGAGATGAAACATCAGATTGTAATCGATCCAATGTGTGTGTTCCATCGGGGAAAAAAACAGCAAAAGGGAAACGGGAAGAGTGAAGAGGGAGGGGATTGTATATTTTTGTTTTCCTTTTCCTCTCTGTCTCTTTCTTTTCCTTTTCTTTTTTTTTTTTTTTTTAATTATTATTTGCCAAATGTGAACGCTTATCAATTTCAATTATCATTTTTTGAATAGAACGAAAATGAGAATACGCAGATTATACGTGTCCTATCTAAATGTATTTTGTTCCTCTTTCTTTTTTCTTTTGTTTTTTTTTCTAAATGAAAAAATATATAAATTTATTAAAAAATAAGTAAATAATTGTTGGTATAATTGTATGTGGACGTTTCGACGTTTGGTTGCAACGTTGATGGTGAAAAACAGTTTCGGGGTATGCCGTGATATAGGTCAGCGACTATTTTCAGATCACGCGATCATATCATTCTTGTATATTTCTACGATATGAGATCATTGTGCTTGCTTTGGTACGTCCGGATCTAGTGATTTTATTTTCTACTAAATTATAGGCTTCGTTTAATAGGGGATAGGTTTGCGTATTTGGCTTTGTCGCCAGGTAATTTTAGAATGGTTTTTTTTACTTCTTTATATTTTATTTAAATTACGTTTGTGTGTGATAACTTGTATTTTTTTTCAATTAAAAATGTTGAATATTTTATATAAGTAAATACAAATAAATTTTACATCCGACAATTAGTATTGTTTTGCGATGTGAATAGAGTTTTTCTTTTTTTAATTTTTCATATGAAAATAAATAAGAATATAAAATACTTGTGTATATCGTAAAACGTTCGAATTTATAATAAAAATGAATGTAAACAGAAACAGCAGCCAGCAGCAGCAGCAGCAGTAGCGACAACATTGTTTGTTGAAAAAATTGCAACATAATTTATTGACCGATCCAATAAAAATTGCGAGACAATTTATAATTTATATTTATTTCATCCAAATTATAATGTAAATATTTAGGAAAAGAGAGTGATAACATTTCTCTGCGCATAAAAAGTTTTTTTTTCTATATTTTTCATCGTAGATTATAATTAACTTTTCTTTTTCTCACCAATTCGTCGATCCGATCCAATCAATTTGTACAATCGACGAATTAAAATCAATTAATTGAAATTTTAAACGAAGTTTCAGAATTTTTAATGAATTAGATTTCTTTTCTTTTTGTCTTTTTTCTCAAGAGAGAAGACGACGAGAAAAAATTAATTTACGCGTTTTAACTTTTTTCTTTCTTACTTTCTTTTTTTTTTTGTAAATCTTCTACTTAATCTCAAAGGTGAAAAATCATCGAAGAATACTCTTAGAAGAAAAACTTCTCCTAACGTTTATCTATTTTCTATTCTCGTATTCAAGTGCGAAACTGACAGAGTCAGAGTCGTAGAGTTTGCAGCACGATCTTCGAAAGATCTTTTGCAGGTTACATGCAAGCCAGAAGAGTAACTATACATATATACATATATATGTATATGAAAGGCAACCACAGTTTCCTTCCTTCGGTGCTGCATCAATTCAGACGCTTACATCAGAGTTACCACGGAGCCGTTCTAAGAATAATCAAGTTCGCCGTACTCAAAGCGCATTCCGTGACTTTCTCACCGCTTCGAATTCATAATCGTATTGTCCAAGAGAAATCCATAGAAAAAGGGGATGACTAAAAACTTTTTACCCTCTTATTATATTTCACACCAAATTTATTTGATAATTATTATATCACTTAATAATAATAATATTTATCTATGGCGAGAATTTATTAATCATTTTGGAGATTAAACATTTTTATTTTCGTGACTCTCTCGTTTTTTTTTTTTATTTATTTTATTAATAATAATAAGTAATAATCGTAAGGAAATAATGGAAAATATTTCGTTGAGTTCTATGTTTATGAAAATATTTTACATAGAATTTTTTCCAATATACGATCACAGGATAATTATTGTAGTAAGGATTAAATGGAGTGATTCTATTTTTTTTTTAAAGTTGAAATTTTTTCATTTACGTTTTCCAATGCTTCACATTCCTTTTTGTTTATTTTTGTAATCATAATTATTGATAATTAAAATTAGACAATCTCAAAAAATATCGTTAGCTTCGTTAATTCTGAAAATAATTCGAGGATTCGTTATTATTATTTTTCACAGAGGGGTTTGATATGTTATTATTCGACATTTCTATTCTCGTATAGTTTCTAATTCGAAAATAATATCTATTATATTGTAATTAGAAAATATTTCTACGTAAATTCTAGTCAGATCTATTTCCAAAAATATTTCCTAATATATTATTCGAATCAAATTTTGTTTCCACCATGTATTGATTTTTCTCACATTTTATTTTTTAATATAAATAAAACAACAATAGAAAAAATAATTTAACGATGTTGCGAAAAAAATTTCAAATATTTTCATTGATTCTAAATTGATTAATAATTTTCAATATTTCATTTGATAACTAATTCGAATTAATTACAAAATTTTTTCATGCGCATTCTTTATTCTTTAATAGCAATAATGAGATGTTAATTATGTCCCGTGCAAATATTTGTTTTCTCTAAAAAAAAAGAAAACAAAAAAACAAAAAAGAAAAATTCTATTCGTCGATATTCTCTCCTCGTTTCGTTTTCTCAAAATAACAACGCTAATAATGGGTAAAAAAAAAAAAAAGAAAAAAAAAGAAAAAAAAAGAAACGAAGAACGAGAAAATATTTTCGAAAAATTTCCAATATCTGATCGTCGTATAATATCACGCAAATTAAGTCGATTTATTACAAAGAAAAAACAAACAAAAAAAAAGAAAACTTTATTAAAAAATAATCTAATTAAATTGATCAAATTAAGAACGTAAA